TTCTACCACTTTATCAAGAAGGCATCAAAATGTGTCACTTTGCAAAGACATGAAAACACCTGCAGTAACCGACACAAAAATAGCATTTTTAGAGTGATGAAATAATTGCACTTAACTGTCATGGATATTAAAGTTATCACACATATGTACCGCGAAAGCTAGAATACATTTTTTTTTTACAAAGCACTTTATAAAAAAATTCTCTGCACACAAAACCTATAATTTTCATATTACTATCATACTAAAGATAAATTCACTTTAAAGCCAACACTTAAAACATTTTAAACAAAAAAAGGTACCAGTACCTACACACAGACAATAACAAATACAAGAATACTGTACTGCCAAGAGGTTTGACGGAAACTCCTTTTGAAAGCTTCTGCAAATATGTTAAGAAAACATTGGAGAACATTCACTTTTTTCGAAGAGCCTTCCCTCCCTGTCTAACCTAGAGGTACTTTATCATCAAAAGGCAAGTTCTACATCAAAAGTTACCAGCAGCAGTACAATATTAAAGTAACCACTGACCATATATGAATATGCTTAAGTCACAAACCCATTTTATACACATTACACAAATAAACATAAAGTGAGAATTCCATTAAGTCATTTACAAATGTGAACAAATGCACATGGCAAAAAAACCCCAAAACAAAACAAAAACCCAACCTGTTTTACATAAAATGTACTGAAGAATTAAAGGCTATTCAGGTTTTCAATGTTATAAAATTCTTTTGTCTTTTTTTTTTTCAGGCACGTATTGTATTTTTTGTCTGCAGTCATGAGCCTGAATCAGAGGCCCATAAAACAAAACAAAACAAAAACAAAAACACATATTCTGTAAGGAGGTAACAGGGATCCATCTCCTTTTAGTCAACTGAGTGCATTTAAGATTTAATTTACACACTAAAACTAATTACATGATCTCAGCAAGAATGACCTGAAAAGTTAAAAGATGAAGATGTCCAAAGTGTTTCTCGTACTTTGACTTACCCAGCCTCAATCTTTTTTAGGGGCCTAAACATCTCGTCATGAAAGATAAGAGGGGGAAAAGAGATCATCCTGAGAAAAGTACAAAACCGGACTCTTATTAGAGACATCTGCTGTCTGACCGGGTACGTGTATCGGCACGGGTCGAGTAAAGGGTAGACAAAAGGTTGCTCAGTATGAGTGACCCAGGAAAACTGTAAGGGGAACTGCTTCAGAAAGCAAGTATGCCCTCGGACTTGCAGTGGAAAAATAAATAGCTATGGATTAGTACGTCAAATGTTGTATCTGCCTTGAACTGGCCAGTTACTCACATTCAACATTAATGTACACCCTTCATTATTTCAAATAGCCTATACCGTGGAGGTTTTAACGGAAGAAGCTACTGCCAAACTTAAGGAGCTGTAGCTGTGGTAGAAAGAGAAAGCGAGAAACAGGCATTGTATCTGCAATTCCTTCAAAATAGTGGTGCAGTACCTAAATAAAATAATTTTGGAATTCAAGTAAGTAAAACTACGTTTGTTAGTAGCAATTTTTAACAGCCCCAAATGGTACCGTTATGCTTCTTTTAAGATTTTAATGAGACAGAAGTGTAGTTTGTCACAAATATTGACTAATACAGCTGAAACGTTTGGTAACAACTGAAGATACATGCTCGACTTGTGGGGCGAAAGCATCTTTGCCCTACCTCAGTCTCACTGAGTTCAGCGGGATTATTTGTCTTATAGAGGTAAGTGAGATTTAGACCTTGAAGGAATAACAAAAATAATATTTTAGAGACAGGGAACTTGAATTATCACAATATTTACCACACAGTGTCACAATATTTCTATATATAAAAAGTTAATCTTAGTTTTCATCAAATACTTTAAAAATCAAGTTAAAATTGTATTCACAACTATATAATCCCTCTGACAGCTTTTGGTTTTGCTGATATTTGTTCTTTCTAACGTCGTTTTCTTAAAATCTTGCTCCTCTTCCCATCAATTTTTGTTGCAGTGTACAGTATGGCCCCCGTTCACAGAAGGTATCAAATACAGACACATTATTAAGAGGAGCTGATTCTTTTTTTTCCAAGACATCATCTGGGAGAAAAGCAAAACAGAACAACCCTGTGTTTTGAATCGTGCTGGCCAGAGTTCCTCTAACAGCACCTTCATCCACAACGCTCACACACAACTTTTCAATGCTTAAGAACACACAATTGCATTTACCCTACCTATTCTCTGTTCTCCATTTTCACCTTGTTTTATGCAGCTGACTTTCAGCATGCACAACTTTGTAAACAAAATCTTCTGTCTAAACAAAAAAATCTTCACAGATACTGGAATATTATTAGAGGAGAACAGTAAAGTCACATTTGTCCGCTGTCTGAACTTCTGCGGTATCTGGATCTCTCATTATGCAGATGAATGACGGGATGAAGAGAATATAAACGAGAATCATTTTCATTTTTATATCACAGACAAATCAGTTGCTGGCTTGCAATGCTGTCAGAAATGGCAAACAGTAGATTATTCTTCAGCAGGTTGATCGTTAGCAAAATTACTTTGCTATGAATGGTGCTCTTTTGTGAATGGAGGCCTGTAGATTCAACTTATTCCAATAAACCAAAGGCATTACGGTGATAACTAAATATTTTTGGTCTCTCTACAAATTGTCATTATTATGGCAGCACTTTTCTAAGCTGGAATTTCAAACCAAAGGCACTTTCATGCTAGAGTGCAGAAGAGTCACAATTAATTATTTGGTCATGAAATTTAAAAAGGCAGCATTTATTAATACAATTCACTTTTCACGGATAACTAAGAATCTGTAACCTTTCCTTTTGGTATAGACGTTTAACTGTGTAGTAACGGGACTGACTTGTACAGAAGGTTGGTTTAGACCAAGCAGTCAAAAAGCGTTTCTGTGGGAAAAAATACAGATTTTTTAAAAAATGGAACCAATTAATAAAACAATATATAAAATTTATGTTAAGAGGCTAAAGGTACTTCTAATATAATGCTAAGGCACTGCATATTGTAATGCTTTGGCAGCTCTCAATTAAAAGGTTCCTACAAAAAAGTAACAGTAACAAGATAAGTACTTCCAGCTTACAAAAGAGCTCACAGTTTACAGGCAGCCTGTTGGACTACACACCCCACACCGAACAGTTGAAGGATTAAGGCTTTTTAGAATTAACATGTACAGGGTATGGATCATTTACAGAAGTGTAAAGAAAAGACGATGGAAGTAGTTTCCCTAATATTACATATGTGAACACCAATAAACGTCGTGACTTTTTATACCCTATAGTTACGGCATATGTAGTGTGCCAGATTCTATTAAAAAAACTGTACCTGGTTTTGCAAATGGACTTACATACTTTATATGCCTCAAACAGTTTGCTTGTTATTAAAAAAAAATAAAATCACCAAAACCACAAGTCAAACCCTAAATAAAAAGACAACTTTAGAACAAAATAAAACAAAAAAAGTAGTTTTTGACTTGTAACACCAAGTGCTTAGAATAAAGGGCTACCGTTAGGCTGTTACAATGCAGTGCTTTTCCTGATGTGATTGTTAGTGTTAAAAATGAGTGTTAAAAGAGACCTTACCATGGACATATTTCTCTGTTCAGTTCACAGACTATAAACCAAAAGATCATCAGCCCTAATATCCACAAGCAGGTAACAGCTAGACATCACAGCAATCATCCACCTCCTAGAGTTAGATCAGAGGCAGGCTAAGGAATTTAAGCAGTCGCTCTTCCCCTGGGTGATGTTTGTATCGTCCTCTAACCCGAGTCCTCACCGGTGTTAATCTGAACATGGTCTGACGCAGACGTACAGCAACCTGCTACCTTGTCTAGGCTATATTCTAGCCTAGATAATTCAACAATGGCCAATTCTAATAGATGATATTATGCAAAAATATAATATCAAAAAATAAGACTGGCTTTTTCGAAGACTACAGCACTGTGCCTGGGAGTAAATTCTAGACTTAAATTGTGCATGGGCGCATATCGGTAAAGGGCGGGGAGGAAGGGCCTGCTAAATGTTAACTTCTCTGATTTAGGACTGCAAAAGACCTTCCCAAGAACACTCCTTGCCAATACCTCATGACTGATCTTTAAGGTGGCTTGTGCTTGGCCGGGCAGCCCTCAGCCTTTCAGACAAATGTTTCGTGTGAGAACCCGCTGCTGCCCAGCACCTGCTGCAACAACTGCTGCCTGGGGAACTGAGGGGCAGTGCTGGCTGTGCAGCAGAAGAAACGAAACGGAGCAACGCTCTCTGGTGTAGCCAGGAGGAAGGAGACTACTTCTCTCCCATGTGCGTACCTCAGACAGTCACTCACACCCACATCCACGGTTTGAATCCTTACAGTATTAAAATATCTCCAGCTGTACTTCACTTCCTGGAGTCTTCCCTGAATATCTCAGAAGGATGAATGCTACCACAGCCGGCTGCAAACGGACGTCAGCCCCCACGTGGTACAAAGGCGTGTGTTTCAGCTAAGGTCTTCGCCAGTCGGAACTGGAGAGACAACTGGGAGAGGTGTAAGAGCACCATGATAAAGAGGAAAAGGAGAGAAAAAATCTCCACTTTCCAATCTTCTTTGCCTGATGTTGGTTGTGATTTTCTAGCATCTCATAGATATTAAAGCTGTTGATCCTTTCAGAGGTGTATGTATTCTTCTTTCAAACACATTAGTGTTTTGCTTTCAGTTTACGAATTACTCGGTTGTTTTGTCAGTTATTTCCGTTCATCTGTTAATTTCAGAGTTGCAAGTTTTTCACTCAACTTATTAGAAAACATAGTTGTCCATATAAAATATAACTGCACACACAAGACTACATATAATGCGAGTCTAAATCTTCAGTATTTACCTACTTATTGCAAAATGAGCCATCTTTTTCATTAAATAATCAAATTTTCATATTAGTACAATACAACTTTATACTCTTTTAAAATACACTAGATATGTTAGGGGTAAGGGGTGATGTCTTCTTTCTCTGCAATACCTGTTTGAAAGTTTAATGGATTAGAAGATTAGTTTTAGCGTTGAGAAAAAAATACAAAATTTGCCTAATTTTAGGACCTGTCTGTTTCTATCAGGCATTTCTTAAGGCTACATTTTTCATTTGGTTTCAAACAGAAAAACGTTTCGTTTTAAAAAATAATTTAGTGAATTACATTCGTCCATATCTTCCACCCTAATTAGTTACAAAGATAATTCTATAAAGATTATTAACTTTGTGTACTCATTTACAGTTATAGCTAAAGATTCATTTCAATTTCACTTGCATTGTAAAACAAGTATTTCATGTTGGAAAAAAACCCAAAATAAATTCTTATAAATGCTGTCAGTTTTTCCCCATGGCAAATGCTCTGTCATACATTTTTCTATCAGAATTAAAAATAGGCCTCCACAGACAGAGGCGTCAGGTTCTTAAATACAGTCTTCCCAAAGAACTGTGGTTTACAAATTTGAAGAACACTTAGTTTTAGAAATAATTTTTACAACTGTACCAGAATTTCACAGCTACAATTATATATGAACACATTAAAAATGACTTCACTAAAACAGGATTTAGAAAAATGTGGGTGAAAGTTGGGCCAGAGGCACTGCCACTTAGTGTTGAGGTTTACAGTCTGCGTTTTGATAAAGAAGTGAAATGAAGTGTATATATAAATAACTGCTCAGTCCTTTACAAGCCTGTAGATATGATGCTGTGCTCCATGTTCGCTGTTCGACACTTCAAATACACAAGCCATGCAGAGCAGGGTTTCTTGTGTATCCCTGTTTGTTACAACCTGTTTGAGGGGAAGGAAGAGGTAGACAGTACGTTACAAACCTGGAAACACCAGGGCCCAAACAAGAAATGACTGGCTTAATTAAAGACAACCTTTAGGTGTTGCCGTTCGAAACGTGCGTCCCCTTGCTCTCTCTTTGGCCGTTCAACCTGACCTCTGTGACTGCACTCACGTAATGTGCTCTGGGGCTGAGCTGCAGGGCTGTAGCTCGCAGCGAGGGCACTGAGATTCATCCCACCCTGGCTGCTTGACCGTGAGCTGCCAGCGCGTGGTCTTGGCTCAGCCTTCCTCAACCTGAGCCCCACTTCAGCAAAGGGAAACCAGCGCACCCGTGTCACCTTGTGTTTGCTTGCCAAAAGGCAGCTGAGTGGGGTGCACGTGGCTCTGCGCTCACGGCCCTACCTCTTCCCCCTGCTGCCAGCCTCTTGGTCCTGCCCGAATCTTATGGAAGCAGCAGCAGCAGCACGTGGCTCGAAGTGCCACCGCAAAGCCACAGTGAGTGACTGGATGAAGCTGGCTGAAGGGCCACTATGCGGACCATTCTTCATGCTTTAGAGCACCGGTTGGGTGTACCCATTACTGCCTGCTTTCCTGGCCCAAGAACTCATTACCACCACTGACAGTTGCAGTATTATAGCTGGCACCTCGGTAAGAGCACATTAGATGAATGGGATGGTTCAAAGTTACTGCCTCAGGCTCGCTACCAACACCAAACAGAGACTTGCATGAAAAAAAGAGAGAAGCAAGCTGAATTTTTGGAAAGTAACAAAGACGTTTGCTCATGTTCTCAGCCAGCTTAGCCTTTTCATCCTTAGCGTCTCTAGTGCACAAGTCCAAGAGTATTACTCTGAAGTCAATGGGATGATGTGTTTAGTAAGCAACATGACTAAGGGATTCGGAAACTGGTTCTCAATATTACGAGTTAAGCAAGCCATACAAAGCCTGAGAGTATTTTAGAAACGGAAAAATAAAAAGTGAGTCCATACCAATAAAATTGTAAAGTTTTCCAACACGCTGTTCATCATGTATTTCTCTGGTAAATGCTTCAACTTGTGTATGAAGTTGATCATATATTCACACATTGGAGAGCGATTTATTCTGTACACGAATCGGCCATTCTCAAACCTTGCATATTCAGTCTAAAAGAAAAAAAAAGCATTTAGTATAAGATAATTCAGAAATAGCAAAAAAGTGAATACTAAACCTGTTTTTTTTCTTTCTTTGTGTAGACAGAAAAAAGAGAAAGTGGCTCTCAGACACACACACGCCTACTTGCTAACTCCCTGCTTGAGCTATGCAGTGGCTTGCTAAAAATTCAGGAGCCCTTAATTATTACGAGTTATAATATCAGTACTTGTTCTCTAATCTGTGAATTAAAAACTGAACAGATGAGGATTACACAAAGGTAAGTCCAAGTCAAGTAAAAACGAATTAAGCAGAAAACTGTGGTAAGACAATTTTACAGTAGTTTTGAGGCAACTGTCTGCAAAGGGAACAGCAAAAATAACCTTATATATTTATGCATAAACATACACGTAGAAACATAGCTATATTATTGCAGGATTTAATAGACAATTTATGAATTACAGAAAGATGCAAGACTACAGTCGGAAGAAAACCAGACTTATTTAGATTGCAGGGGCTCACGAGGGGCTGAAGGAAGGTAAGGCTGTGACTCTTGACTCCTGCTGCCCAGCTACCAATTGCTCAGGTGAGCTACTCGGTGGCTTCTGGGTTTTTTTGGCTTTCTCTAAGCTTGGAATAATGGAAATGATGGAAAACTTTTTTATGGTCACCATGCACAGAAAACATATTTAGTGTAAGAAGGACACGAACCGTGACCAGGACATCTATAAAGGCTCAACCTGCAGCTCTAGGCTAAAATTCCCGTACAAAAACTATATTGCAGGTAACAGCTGTGGGTGTGGGGCTTAGTACACAGAAGACAAGTTAAACAGCTGCAGTACCATTGTACAATAAACCAACCAGCTACCTGACCACTCGATACAGAAAAGGTAAAAAATAAATAAAGGCACTTGCACGTTAAGAAAATACGCAACTTTGTATTCAAAAGCTGCTGTGACTGGGGAAAGCATGCCTTTCTGTGCATAAAATAAGATAAAATAAGCATGGGTATAGATGAAATATAGCACACCATCCATGGCTTTCAAATGTTTAAAAACTGTTTAAAAAAAATCTAGATGATAGAGGGTAGCTCGTCACTGTGGTATGGTTCCAAACAGGCTATGTGGCTGCCAAGTGTTTGGCAATGGGAGCAAAAGCGGGCCACAGGCAGGGTGGAGGAGAGTCTCCAAAGCAACAGGTAACTAGGATTTTACTGAACTGTAGTGTCACCGTTCACACGGTGATTTAAAATGAACCCAAACACTGCTGGGAAGGAAAATACTCTTCCAGCAAGGATTAGAGGAAGGAAGGAAAAGACAGATAAGAGCAAAGTAAAGACAAGAGAGAGAAAAGCCTAATTAAAATGAAAGGGAACCAGAGAATCGTCCCACACATCCCATCACAACACCCACCTCTACTTTTTCTACTACTTGCTTTCCAAACGAGCAGACTTTGGTGGAACAGGTGATTGTCATGTTTTCTGAGCTCTCGTACTGACTAGTGACTCCGTAAAACGCTCCTGTATCATCTTGAATGTTGCAGTTTAAGTCAGCCTGTTGGGAAAAAGTCATAGATGTTGAAGATTTTTATTTTTCATTTGACAATGTCAGTAGCATAAGCTGTAATAGCTCACCGTTCTTGTCAGAAATAAGGGAGAGAGGGGGGAGTTTTATAGTGACAACAGTGACAGTGGAAGAAGTCTGTCGGGAAAGCACCTGCCTAATTGTTGCCGTAAAAACCTTAGGGAAGCGGCAATTTCTTCAAACTTCAAACAACAAAAGACAACCCAGTATTTCTCTGGGCTACAGGTGACGTTCTTGGCTGGCAGATAGCTGATGAAGTCCCTGGAGCGAAGGGAATGATCACCCGCGAGGAGCCTGGCTCCAGCGCTGACTCCTCTGGAGGGAACCTGCCCTGCGGCCGCGAATTCAACCGAGCCATCCCGCTCCCGAGAGGCCATAGTTCACTTTCTCCTTTTCCTTTCTTAAAGCAATGAAATCCTCACGGCAAAGGGAGACAGCTGCGCAACACGGGGATCGATCTCTGATAAGACTCCGTCAAGCCATATGGCCCTGATTCAGCAGAATACTTGACTTCACGGAGCTGGATGATGCAACTCACAGGCTTCAAGTGAGCTGTGCGCGCACTGAGCCATGCCGACCGCACCAATAAAATACTACCGAACGTATTTCAGTTCTTTCGGTATTTCTCTGCAGCCTGAAGAACTATCCGGCTGCCTTTGATATCTACCAACAGAGATTGAGACTTGCTGGATCAAGTGAGGAACAGTGCTACCTTTAATTATTTATATCCAAATCCAAGCCCTGAGCACAGCATGATTAATTTGGCTACAAAGCAACAGCACAGGTCACATGCTGAATCCAGGCTCCCCAGGCCTGCCGCGGCACTGAAGCTGTTCTGCCACTGTGCTCTTTGTCATCATGAATCCGTTTTCAAAAGCCCTCAACTTGAAAGAGCACTAATATGGACATAGGCAGAGTCTAGGGATAGCCACAGCTGGATTTGTTGATTCAGGCATTAGCTCTGCTGACATCTTTGGTGCCCAAGGACAGAGTGGGCAGGGTTTTCTTTTTATGTGGAAATAGCTGATCAGCTACTGCAGCGTAACATCTAAGAATCGGCTGAATTTTTAACTTACTCTGAGACGAGCATTTTAGCAGAGAAATGCGCTTTCCCAGCTGTTTCACTTGCAAGTCTAGCTCTGCTTGGTTTTATTGCTAATACAGAAATGTAACAGAAAAATTTTGACAGAACCTTTCATGCCTACCTTGAGAGTTTCTAAAAACCCAGTTTACAGGTATGTTTATTTACTAGTTAGTGTGGAACATTTATAATCCTGCCTTTGCTATAGTTCAGGTCATTTGTAACTGCTATTTAATTTTTAACTAGGCAACAACTCATTAATTCTACTTAGTGTCTGCAGTCCTTATTTGTGGTACAACATTCTGAGGCAATATGCTGATAATAGCACATACTGAGCTAGCTTGTGGTACGGAGAAGACACAGGTCTAAGATTACTTCAGGCTGGCTTTGGTAAATTAATCAGTGGAGAAGTCTCCCGAGGTTTACACACAGTAACACAAACAGCCCTATAGTCATGTATTTTGCATAACAGAAAGAAATCCTGTCACTGTTACACCTTGCTGCTCGCACATGTTTTGCATGAGGTCAGCAGTTAATGTTTAATGTACATCTAAAGCAGTGTGTTCACAGTGAGCTGTAAGAAACTGTTCTAAGCTAATAGTAAATAAGCAATTTGCCATCACAGCTGGCTTGCAATCGAAACATGACAAACATCTAAACATGACAAACTGTAGCAGCCATTAGCCATGCCACAGCTGCTCCACCGGAATTTCTGAAGAACAGGGATTTCTGATATGACAATTGCATTGTTGTTAATAACAATAAATAATAATAACAGTAATCATCATCATCATTGTCATCTCTTAAAAAGTGGTTAT